CCTGCAGAGAACTGGTCTTTTTCTGCAAGCAGCTGCAGCGACTAACCAGACAGCCAACTATCCAGGACACACAGATCAACACAAACATCGCCAAATTCCTTGTAAAAGTGAGGAACTCAAATGAACTGTGTGCAATAACATGCCAGGACATTGTTTCCAAATGTTTCATGATTGAACACATGGGTCAATTATATGTTATGAGAATGCCTGTGTCTGAGACACATTAAAGTCTGTCATTTATGATTCATGTCAGACCTCTCTGAGCTTGGGTTGGGAATGTTGGAAACCAACCTTCGTCACTTTGACAACCCCTGATTAAATCAAGGAAATCAAGTAAAAAATAAGTAAATATGTTTTCCATGTTCCAACAACAGATTTCCAACTGATGTATCATCATAAACCCACTGTGGGCAGTACTGAAACATACTGCATTGATTAGGTTATTATTGCACCAGCGGAATAAAGTGATTTACATTAGTATTTTATTATTACTTTTTTATTTTGTGCAATGCTTTACATCTTGCTGTTAAAGAGTACCAGTTCCATATTTTGTATGTAAATTAGACACCACCAGTGAAGGTCCTTCAATTTGCATTTGTTTTGTATATATCAGCTTTGATTTAAAAGTGGAAACTTTTAAAAATGTGCATGTGTTTCAGAACATCTTTGTGCTTCTTCGCTCTCATTTGGCTTTAATACCAGCAGCACCCATGCTTTATGGACCCGTTTGTTTTTTTAAATCACCATCATTATCCCAGCATTATCTAACAGTTGACAAAAGAGCTTCCTATGAGGAATACTTCACCTGGCTTCATATTAATTTTGGCTGAGGTCAATAGACTGATTACATCATCTGATACCAATAAAAGTAAAGATAATTTTGGGCACAGGTTTGAGCTTTTTGTGTCTAGAACAACATTTGTGTGACACAATTGAAGATGCTGGAGGATTTCTCAGTGTAACTTTTTAAAGCAAATACTAAATATTAAAGTGGGAGATTTCTACAGGTTACACTTCATTTAACAACACTATGCCCTGCCCTGTGGGTGCTGCTTGAGTTTAAACCATTTTTCTCCTTCAACAAGTCAAAGCCAAAGCACCGAACCCAACCACGCAAAAACTGTTTAAACAAGAACCAGTCAGCTAGAAGTCTTTCACCAGATTTCCACCAGCTATCCAACCATTGTGAGAACAAAATAAACACAATTTAGAAATGTGCATCGCACGAGTAAGTGTTCGGAGAGGTTCCTTGCGCTGGGGTACTGGTTCTCTTGGACTGACAACTCTACAGGGGGTAACAGGCAGATTCAGGCAACTAAAATCTCAAGATTGCTCCTAGCTTTAATGCTTGACTCGGACTGCAGCTGTTGATTATTTTATATCCATTGATTATTCCATTAACATGTGTATGTGTATTTGTGTATTTCTATGTGTCTAAATGCACCTGTGAATGAGTAAGCATGTGTCTGCACTCAAAAAAAGAAATTCAGCAACTTAATTTATTCTTGTTGAGACAACATGATAAAATCTAGTAAGAGTGGTTAGTTGCCTGGACTCACGAAATTCACAAGATCACACGAGATTTCAAACTGCAGGAAAATCACTGTAGTTATAGGAGGCAGACAACTACACACACACACACACACACACCACGTGTATGCTATTGCTATTTATTGTGGTTTAACCTGTCAAGGATGGAAAAGTACAGAAAATTCTGCATCAAGCCTTGTAATCATAGCTTTCCTGCTTTTGTAAAGCCTGCATTGACAGCTCGGTAGT